TATGACAGATAATAGTGTTACAATGTCACTATTGATAAATTTTAAAAATGTATGTTTTGAAACCGCAATATCCTACTTGTACCTATAGCCCTATAACATGCAAAAAAAAGCAAAAAAGCACGTAAACACTAGGTATTTTTAAACTCAGGACAAAATTTTGAATCTATTTAGCAGTTTTTTTCATTCGCTTTTGTAGATGAGTAAAAGATTTTTCAAGTAAAAGTCAAAAAACATGTATTTTTTTTCAATTTTTCATCATATTTTTTAATTTTTTTTAATTTTGAGATTATATAAATAATGGTATGTAAAGAAAGACCCTTTTGTCCTGAAAAAAACAATATATAATTTGTATGGGAACAGTAAATGAGAGAGCGGAAAATTCCAGCCAAACACAAACACCACAAAAGTGTAAAAATATGCCTGGTCGCAAATGTACAACATCGCAAAAACAGTCCAGTCCTTAAGGGGTTAAAACAGTAAAACATATTACAACAATAATATAGACCATAAAAGTGCCGTTCGTTTGTACAAAATGAAAAAAACTTCAGTTTTACTTAAAAGATCACTTTTACTTAAAATATCACTGTTGTAATACAATTTACCAGTTTTAAACACTAATATTTGAGTTCAGCGAAGTCTCCCGAGTAAAACAGTACCCCCTATGTACAGGTTTTATAATGTCTTGGAGAGTTACAGGGTCAAATATAGTGCTTGCGAATTAAATTCTCTGCACTTTCTCCTTGTGTTGTCAGGCATGTCAATCAAATTTTAATTAATCAAATCACATAATTATGTTAAAAGATTACTTAAATATACACGTAGAATTTTAATATATATGCATTTATAGGTATTTAAATTCTACGTTTATACTAATGTAATCTTTTATGTAATATGTATTTATATATTTGCAGTTATTTGTATTATATATAGATATATATAGAATGTCATTCTAAGTGTATTACAATACAGTTAGAATGAAATTACATAGGAATATATAATTTATATTAAATTTTGTTTCAATATTTTATTCATTTATTATTGTAATTATACGTGTATATATGTATATATCTATTTTATATATAATATATACATATATGTAACGTCATACAAAGTGTATGACGTTACATATTATATATATTTAAAAAAAAAAAACTTAATTTAATTTTAAACCTGTTTTTTTAACACTTTCCACCAGCAGGGGGACTGTGATTTTTCAGACAGTCCCCCTGCTGGCAGATCCATAGCCAGCTATAGGGGGCCTCATTTGCCGGGGGAGAGTTGCCTGGGCTGTCAGGCGGCCCTCCAGAAGAGGATTGCGGCGGAGGTAAGTAGAGCTCACCTCCCCTGGGCTTAAGCCGTTACGGCGTTCTATGCCGCCGCAACAGCTTTAAAGCCCCGACGGCATAGAATGCCGTAACGGCGTTAAGCACTTTCTGTAGAGTGAGGTCTAATGTTTGAAGAAACAACCGCAGGAATACAAAGATCACTATAGGCCCCCATTAAATAGGTGATTTTCACACCTTTTTTCCCCCAGCGCCATGCATCTAGCTGGATTCACTTCATTGGCTGTAATTTGACTTTATGATCTCCGCCAATCCAATGCATTCCCATAGCTATAGCACATGCAGAGCAAAAAAACGTGCTGCGCTAATTAGCATCTCCTCACAGATACATTTAATCAATGCCTCTTTATGGAACGTCAATCCTGCACATGCATCTCTGGTGGCCATCTGAGTGACTGCATTAAGGTGTTCCTAGACCATAATGTAAACACGGTCTTTTCTTTGAAAAGGGCATTCTTACATTAAAAAGCCTGCAGGAACAGGCTATAGACATTGCAACCACTGCATTAAGCTGTAGTTGTTCTAGGGACTATAGTGTCCCTTTGAACTCCCTTTATTGCTCATTCTGTTTAATTTATGTTATATCTCCTGCTCCGTTAATAGCCAGCAGGAAGATCAGTTCTTATGTTCTGTCTACCAATCACCCCCATTTTATAATTGTAAAGCGCTGCAGAATATGCTGGCGCTATATATATATATTAAAAATGAAACAACCCCCCATGTTTGCTGTGTGAGTTACAAACAGGGGAGGTGTGGCTAGGGTTGCATTAACAAAAAGGGATTTAACTCATAAATGGCAGAGAATTGAGCAGCGAGACCCCAATTAAAGGTTGTGATTATTAAAGGGAAACCGGCTAGAAATTGCATTCCTTGCACTAAAGGGCCCCCTTGCTAGAGGTGGAGTTAAAAGACCACTTCAGCTCAATAAACCAGGTCCCTCTAGTTTTAACCCTGCAGCTGAAAACATAGCAGTTTCAGAGAAACTATGTTTACACCGAGGGTTAATCCAGCCTCTAGTGGCTGTCTCACTGATAGCCACTTCTGCGATTCTCACTGTGAAGAGACACTGGACGTCCATAGGAAAGCAGAGTAATGCTTTCCTATGGGCGGTTTGAAGGCACCCGGCTCTTGCTGCGCATGCACATTCGGCACTGGCGTCGGCAGGGGGTGGAGAGTTCCACAGCACAGAGGGAGTGCGGCACTGGAGAAAGGCAAATGGCTGAAGAGGTTTTAACCTCTTCTACCCAGCAGGAGGGGGGCCATGAGTGTGGGGGGTAGCTAAGGACTACATAGTGCCAGGAAAACTAGTTAGTTTTCCTGGCACTATAGTGGTCCTTTAACCCTAGCTATACATTATTGCTGTTTCTCTGCAATAATTACAATTGAATGGTTAAACCGATAGAAGTACCACACCCTGACCACTTCTATGAGCTGACGTTCTCTGGGTGCCTATAGTTTTCCCTATAATTTATTTTTCCTGGCTGAATATTTAGCACTTTACATTAAGGGAATCCTGTACGCAGCCTCTATAAACAACCTTGCAGTGATGGTAAGACATTCTGTAATGTGAAAAAAACAAAACACCCAAACAATGTAAAGAACAAATTTTTATTGGGAGTATTAAATCTTTAAGCAACCAGCACGCAAGCACCACCGACACCCTTGATTTTCTCTTCTGCTCTTCGGCTGAAGAACTTTGCTTTGACGATCACTGGCTGCTTAGGGAGCTTTCCTTTTCCAAGCACCTTGTAATACCCCTGTGAAAGAAATAAAACATTACTAGGTAACGTTCAAACAAAACCTTACTCTATATTTAAACATGCTGCTACAGAACCTCTTCCATCATCCTAACAATCGCCCCTATTATCTGTAAGTCACACGGAATTAAACCAGGAACAAGGAGACTGACAGGCAGAGATACCATGGTCTGCTCTGAAGATTTAACACCCGCCCCCCTACAGGCTGATCCTGACACAGCAGATCCACCCAGCTTCAAAGAGGCAGAGAGCGCCACACTGAGATCTCCGATGTGCTATACATGGAAAGTCACTGCACAAGGGATGCTTGATGAGAAGGTTAAAGTGTAACTGAGCCAGTGACTGGTGGATTCACAATATAATCAACCAGTGAATAAAGATCAGTACTTTCTCTCCGAGTACTCTAGCACACCAAGGCAACCAGCAGTGCCAGGATGTGACTCTAGTCTCGGGATCGGTTTGTCCAACAGGAATCCAGGTATTGAATGCTGACAGAGGCACAGGCCAATGACAAACACTGCCTCATGGAAAGTGGAGATCAGGCACAGTAGGCCTTTCAGTGTAAAGCAGGAGGTGTCAGGTTAATGAGAAACAGTCTAGCATTATAACTTACCAGCAGATCATTAGAAGATTAAACTGTGCTGCTTATAAATTATTCTTTCTATACAATTAACTTCTTGCTGCATTTTCTACAAGCAATAAATTCCCTCCAACTCTTTTCAAACTTGCTGGCTGATTTTTAAATTCATTTGGAGTCATAGTTGTCCCTTATTTTGCTCTATTACAAAGACCGCTGTGACAATTACATGACTGCATAAAAGGCGGTATATGGATGTTTATTCATTTACGCTCCGTATACAGTGGTATGGATAGAGTAGGAGTGTGTGTAATAATACACAAACCTGTTTACTGTTCCACAAATAAAACAAAACAAAGCTTTAATTCAAGTCATGGACAGCTGCAAACAAAATTCTACCAAGTAAAATATTTCACCTGAGACAAGAGCAAGCCAAAAAAACAGAACCTTTTAAAGAATATCACTATAAAAAATTTTTCGCCAGTGCTATGTTACATAGATAACAAGAGCCAATAACGGCAAAGTAAAGCACAGGAAAAACGTACAGAAAGTTAAGTTACTTTTGATGTAAAATAAATGAACTGAAAATTTCTAGGACCGCCCAACATAAAACTATGCTAGTGAGTAAAAGGTGTACTGGATACTACTTACAGCGTGCACAGCATCGATGACTGGTGCAGGACCAGCAGGGTTCTTTGAGTAGTTCAGCCTTGTTTGCTCACTAACGAGAGTCCACAGTTTGTCCAAGTTGATGGTGGGACAGAAGGATTGATTCTTCTTCAGATGGTAATGTCTCATACCAACTTTGCCAAAATACCCAGGGTGACTGAAAAAAAAAAAAAAAAAACACATCTAAACTGCATGAAGAAAATAAAAAATACAAAGCATTTGATTTCTCTCCAGCTCTTATATTATGAGGCACGTCTTTTTGCTGCTCTAAATTATAAAGGGCTGGCATTTGGCATAAAAGCAATGTGTCAAACAGGTGCACTGGCATCACATCTGATTTAGACCTAGAAGGACATTTACTAAAGTAAGAATTTAAAGGTAAGTTCAAATTTAAGTCCAGAGTAACCCAAATGACTACAAAACTGATGTAGAGAATTGTTCCAGTTTGGCTATTTTGACTTTGATAAATAATCTTGTAGGCAATCTATTGAAAGTCACCTCATATTCCACATAAACCTAAACAAAGCTGTGGCTGCTCAGAGGATAATTCATATTTAGGCGTATGGAGAGCTTCAGGTAGCCAAGCCACACTGGGATCTCCGATGTGCTATACATGGAAAGTCACTGCACAAGGGATGCTTGATGAGAAGGTTAAAGTGTAACTGAGCCGGTGACTGGTGGATTCACAATATAATCAACCAGTGAATAAAGATCAGTAGTTTCTCTCCGAGTACTCTAGCACACCAAGGCAACCAGCAGTGCCAGGATGTGACTCTAGTCTCGGGATCGGTTTGTCCAACAGGAATCCAGGTATTGAATGCTGACAGAGGCAATCTATTGAAAGTCACCTCATATTCCACATAAACCTAAACAAGGCTGTGGCTGCTCAGAGGATAATTCATATTTAGGCGTATGGAGAGCTTCAGGTAGCCAAGCACAGAGTTGAATACTACACCCACAAAGACAGAATTGTCCCAACAAATTGTGTTAATATTCTGCACATAAAACCAGAAATACTTACTATTTATCAAAATTTATTCTGTGATGATGCATACCACCAGCATTACCACGGCCACCAGGATGTTTTCTGTGTTTGCCTATCAAAATAACATGAAACTGGCATAAGTTTATGAAAAATCAACTGGACCAGAAAAATCCTATAGGCCAGCGTTCCACATTACAGTACAATAATGCATTTGATGATTACGTATTGTTATCAGCGAAACATGTTACTGAGCCGGTGACTGATTGAGCTATATTGAAATCCAACCAGTGAATAAAGATCAGTACTTTCTCTCCGAGTACTCTAGCACACCAAGGCAACTAGAAGTGCCAGGATGTGACTCTAGTCTCGGGATTATGGAATAGCTTTTTCTATAGTCACAATATCAAACACAACCCCCCTCCCCCCTTTTTTAAATAATAGCTTTCATGAGGGATAGGACTGCATTTGAAATAACTAAGTCGATTAAAGTACTTTGCATTGATTGTGATCCTGCAGCAAGTTAAATATACTAAAAACACACAAAAAGCTTCATATATTCCCAGAAAACAACATTTCAACAGAGCAAACTTACATGGACAGGTTTATAAATCACCAAAGCTTAACAGAGATGGCAGTTGGCCCATCTGCCAAGTTTATCGAGAAAAGGGGCCATTTACAAACAACATTTGGATTAGGAGTTGCAAGGGAAACTTAAAGAAATGCCATTAAAAGTAAAGCAGAGGAAATTCTTACCAATACGGCCATGGCCGTGACTGACATGTCCACGAAGCTTCCTAGTCTTTCTTAGTTTGGAAGGCTGGAAAAAATAAAGTAAAAAAATATATGACTGACAGCGTACAGCTTATATATATAAAAAAAAAAACTATCACAGCAGATCTGTCACTGACCAGGTGACTGGCTGAGTTACAGTGAAATCAACCAGTGAATAAAGATCAGTAATTCTCTCCGAGCACTGTTGCACACCATGGCAAATGACAGTATCATGATGTGACTCTAGCCTCGGGACTACCAGGATTAAATACAAAAAAATGTCTTATGACAGGGGTATGCAACCTTCAGCACTCTAGATGTTGCACACTGCATATACACGGAAGTTTTGCCAGCATTATGTGAAATGTAGACCATAATATTTGGAGTGCTGAAAGTTACCTACCCATGCCTTACTAAATAACCCAATTAAACAAGTATAAAATAGGAAACAGTATTATACTTTTTATTTTTAAATCAGGAATATAAATTTTAAGCACTAGAAAAACTTAATCTAAATATTTAAAGGGACACTCCTGGTATCAAAACAACTTCATCTAAAATAAGTTTACATCTCTGCCAGAGGCAACTTTGGTGTTAAACCATTCGGAAACAGTTTAACCTCTTGAGGCAAGAGACTCCGAAAGCCTCCTGTCACCATAACAACCTTTTAGTTAAGGTTATTCTGGTGCCTGGAATGTTCCTTTAAATCTATAGATGGAGCTATAGTTCTTGAAGGGTTTATTTAACCACAAAGTTTTGTAGTATGTGTCCATAAGTTCAGTTCTCCTTCCAGCCAATTCCTCTGTGTCAATGAGAAAGCCTTGAACAGAAAACCTTTAATTATCTGTATCCCCTAAACCAAGCATGCACAACTATCCCATCATCCAGCAGAGTCAATACCATGTGTCCTACTAATCCATAGGGCCATATTATTACAAACCCCAATATTCCTCCTATATATAGACACCATGAGCCATATGCTGCTTATATTGAACCCTAGACATCCCAAAAATCATATATCCTGCCATGAACCTTTTATATCGTACCCTATACACAACAGTCCTCCCATAGTATCCTGCCCCATGTACCCCTTATATTATACACCCCAATAATATCCTGCCCCATGTACCCCTTATATTATACACCCCAATAATATCCTGCCCCATGTACCCCTTATATTATACACCCCAATAATATCCTGCCCCATGTACCCCTTATATTATACACCCCAGTAAAATCCTGCCCCATGTACCCCTTTATATTATACACCCCAGTAAAATCCTGCCCCATGTACCCCTTTATATTATACACCCCAGTAAAATCCTGCCCCATGTACCCCTTTATATTATACACCCCAGTAAAATCCTGCCCCATGTACCCCTTTATATTATACACCCCAGTAAAATCCTGCCCCATGTACCCCTTTATATTATAAACCCCAATAATCCTGCCCCATGTACCCCTTTATATTATACACCCCAATAATCCTCATTATTTTTAGTTTTCCTCGCCCCCCCCCCGGCTCCCCCACGCTGCAGGCCGGTCCCCTCTCTCTCTCCCCTGGCTGTCTCAGGCCGGTCCCCCCCGGCTGTCTCAGGCCGGTCCCCCTCTCTCTCTCTCTCCCCAGGCCCGGTTCCCCCTCGGCCCCCACGCTGCAGGCCCAGTCCGGCCACATGTCTCCCCATGGCCGGTCTCCCCCTCGCTGTGGCCCCCGGGGCCCTCAGGTCTGCCCCCCAGCTGGCTGCCAGGAAGGTCTCTAACCCTCCGAGCCGGCCCTGTGGCCCCCGGGGGCCCCGAATCCCCATCCGTCCCCAGGCCGCGCGGCCGCTGCTTCCTACCATGTCGGCAGCTGCAGGAGAAAGAGGGAGATCTCGGCAGACCTCGCGAGAACTCAGCGCCGCTCCTCTGACATCACTTCCGGTGCGAAGAGTAAGACAGAGCGCTAAGTACCAGAGACATCAGTCTGTGTTTGTGTCCTGCTGATAGAGGCGACCATTTATCCGGTGTGTGTGTCTCTTGTGTTTATAGCTCACATAAATTTTACCAGTAGCTCAGCACATCCCTGGCCACACTGACAGGGGGAGCTGGGGAGCTGGGGAGCTGGGGAGCTGGGGAGCTGTGGAGGGGGGGGGGAGAGAGAGATATGACCTCCTCCTCCAGAGTCTAACCTTCCTGTTATCTCTGAGCCCCAATAATCAGTAACCCCTGACCCCCCCTTCTCCTATGTAATCCCTGACCATCCATGTAATCCCTGACCCCCCTTCTATGTAATCCCTGACCCCCCTTCTCCCATGTAATCCCTGACCCCC